ACACTTAAAATTTTATTAATCCTCTCAATAAAGAGGATTAATAAATTAATCCAGAATGTGGATTATCAATTCCACATTCTCCTTTTCCTTCTTCCCACTGGTTGCCCTCTGACTCGGTACAGCTGTCCCAAGGGGTTGCAGATTAGGAGATGGGAAAAATAAAAATTGAAATTCATGTTCTTCAGTTTGCCATTCTTTATGAGATGAGTTAAGAGATTGGGAATTGTTCCAGTAAGTCCTTTAGAAACTAATCAAGCATCCATGTAGACATCTTTTACTTCTTTTTTTTTTTTGTCATAAACTATTTGAGATGGCTTAAAAGATTACATAAAATATAAAAGTACATAACTAAGTAGAGTTAGCAACATTATAAATTAGAATAGAAAGTTAAGAAGGAAACAGATACATTTTTCTGAGCAGAAAGCTCAGCTTTGGTGACCTCCTGCAGGCCCAGTGGGTGGACTTTCCTGGGGGCTAGGAACAAAGACTGCCACAGAGCACAGGACTCATTAATAATGATTTCCGCAAATTTATCTCTCTTAAAAGTTGGAACAAGGTTGAGAGTTAAGTGGGCTGACTTGGAATTCGCCTCTCCTGTTACCACAGTATTTAGCTAGACTCTCCCCCACTGATCTTTTTACATTTTTCCCAGAAAAAGCCACTTGACTGTGCTCAGCATTCACCTCACACCACCCCCGCAGTGAGATTGGTGGCTCACAGCCGGCCTCTCAAAATGGGGGGCCTTCGTGGCCCCATCTGCCTGGTGACCTCCTCCTCATCTTCCTCCCTCAGGGGTTTAAACTCCAGTTTACCACCAGGCCTCTGCTAATCCAGGCATTTTCTTGCCAGAGGCTCCTTACAGGGGAAAAGCCTCCCTTTCCGGTTCCCTTGTCCCTTTATCTCCTCCCTCCCCCTTTCCTGTCTTCCTCCTCCTCCTCTCCTCTTTCTCCCCCTTCTGCTTCTGTGTTTCATCCAGCCAGCTTTTCGTGGGCATATTTATTGTCCCTTGAGTTGAAAGAGGAGCAAGAAATGGTTTGTACCCCAGAGGAGCTAATCATGGGAGAGAAGATGCATGAAACAAGTAGTTATGACTCTGTGATGGGTGTGGTGCAGGCATGGACAGGGTGGTTTGTTAACCTGGGAGAGGACATAATCAATTGCTGAAATCTCTCAATAGAGAAGTGAGCCTGAGATTGGTCCAGAAAAATGAGCAGGAGGTGAGCAGGTTAGAGAAAGGGCACAGGAGTTGATGGAGGAAGACATTGTGGACAGAGGCAATGGTCTGTTCAAAGGCTTGGGACTGGGAAAGGATGAGGACATTGTGTGTGGTGCAGAGTCTGAAAGACAGGGAGAAGGAGGAGGAGATGAGCCTGGAGGGTTGAACTGTACTTGAGAAAGCAAAGCACCTTTAGGATATGGATTTTGCCCAATAGGCCACCGGAAGTCAAAGGATGTCTTTGAACAGGAAAGGTTGGGTCTTGAGATGCTCTCTGTGGCAGCAGGGAGACACTGTGGGGAGATGAACCTGACAAGAGAGAGACTGTGGATGGAGCCCGGTCAGTGAGCTGTAGAGTTTGGGGAAGAGATAAAGCAGGCTTACATTGAAACCAGCAACCTGGTGATGGAAAGAAGAGGTAGACCAGTTGACTCATCGGGTGTGACAAAAGAAAGGGGGAAGGGAGTTAGTACCTAGAAGAAAGTTACTGTCATGAATGAGATAAAATAGGGAAACACAGAGGACGAGTCCCCCTTTAGAAAGTCCATTTTTCTTTTATCCATTATTTTTTATTCCTCTTCTCCTTTAAAATCATCTTAAAATGCATCTACTTCAGAAATATTGGTTAATCCATGGTTTTGTGATATCCTAACCTTTCTGTTTTCATCCAAGTCTTTTCTTTGTAGGCATTCACCTTTCCATTTATTCCATCCACAAATGTTTATTGAGGACACAGTGTGTGCCAGGCACTGGATTTGGTCTGGGGACAAATGATGGAAAGACAGACAGTTACGTGCCCTCCCTGGTGCTTCTGGTATAGAGGAGTAGACAGACAATAAGACTTAATGTTAAATAACTTAATACTAAATAGTTTGTATATGGTATGAGAGGAAATATGAGGGGTTAATAATAGTCAGATGGTGCCGGCCCTTGTAAATCATATTCAGGAAACAGAAGGTTCAGTTCAGACAGAAGATTCAGTCTTATCCTCAGAGCAATGAACAAAAAGCCAGCAGGGCTTAGGGTGACTGAAAGCAGAAAGGCAGAATTCTGAGATATCTCTGAGGCCTGGAACTTAAGCAACTGACTTGATGGTGGTGTCATACATTGAGGTATTACTGTGTATTTTTCAAGTGTGAGGTATATGCTTCACATGTTATTCCATGAGCATCACAACTGCCAGTGTAGAAATATCCAAGGTATTGTACCTGGCTGAACTAAGAGCATTCCACATAGTGTGCAGAAAATGCACAGGGATCTACAATCAGACGGTGTGTTCTGTACGAACGTGTGCTTTCACTCTTATGTTGGGCCATTTGTAAAAGTTGCATTTTGGAGGCAAAAGAACCTTGAGCTTCTTAATCTTTTCTAATGTGGTGAGAAATAGGGTTGAGGGAGAAAACACTGAGGTTGAAACAAGAAAATAAAAGCTCCGAAGAAAGCTGCTGTCTCTTCAGCTGACAGTGTGTTCCGCTAGAGGGTAGATGTGGGGAGCAAGGTGACTGTAGATCAAGGTAGCAATCTGTGGAGACTTGGGACCAGGGAAAAGGGAATGCCCCTGTGTGCCAGGGCAGAATGAGTGTCCCACAGTCTCCATGGTCTCTGAGCACTTAGGTTAGGTCAGTATTCATGTGGGCCTCTATGCTCTTTGGAGTCTGAGTGGAAAGCTGGTGAGTCATCCCTTGGAGTGACGGAAACCAGCAGCGCTTGCCGGACCGTCTGGGCTGTCTCTGAAGAAGGAGAACAGGTAGAGCCAGGCTCGGATGATGAGAATTTTCCATTGTATAGTGGTGCTGGCCTGGGAAGCCTAAAATGGTTTATTAGTTTTCACAAAAGACCCATTCCTTAGCTTAGGAGATCACACTGTCAATTTACGGCTAAGTGGAATGCTCTCCTGGTTTGCTTCCCCTCCCATGTTTTGGGTGCTGAAACTTTCAGGGAAGCATTTACTGAATTGTGCAATTGACTGCAAAAGACTTACACACATTTATTTGAAGCATTGTATTTATTTTTTCCAGCTTTTAAGATAGTTACACTTTAATAAAAATTTTTGTTACTGTTATTACAAAGAAAAATTAATCAAAGAAGCATATCATTTTAATAATTGACTTTAACTATGGCTATAATGATGCTTTATGTCAGTGATTTTCAACTGGTGTGCCACAAGAATTTTTTTTAAGATTTTTATTTTATTTTGTTTTATTTAATTTTCTCTTTTTTTTATTGTTGTTCAAATACAGTTTTCTCCATGTTCCCCCCACCACTCCCCCCCATCCATCCCCCGCCACCCAAGTTGGCTTTGCCCATGTGTCCTTTATAAATGTTCCTTAATGACCCTTTCCTATTTTCCCTCCATTATCCCCTTCCCCCTCCCTGTTGGTTACTGTCAGTTTGTTCTTAATTTCAATGTCTCTGGTTACATTTTTCTTGGTTATTTGTTTTGTTGATTAGGTTCCACTTATAGGTGAGAATTTTTAAAACATTCAATACCTGACTATGTAGTCAGGGGCACTGACCTCATTTTCCCTTAGATTGTCAAATAAAAAAAATGACAAAAGCTAACAAAACAATAGCCATCCAGTGTGGATGAATCAAAATTATACTTATTTTTTTGTCAGAACCAGGGGGGGTGGGGATTCAATACATTACAGTGCATTACAGAATTTTAGTAATTAGTTTATGTGTGCCATGAGATGAAAAAGGTTGAAAATTGCTGTTTTATGTTGGTATAATGCTCACAGTATACGAAAGCAGTGTCACGTGTTTTCCACTGGAGATACACAGCCCCCTAGAAGTGAGCAGGGATTGTAACGCCCTTTTCACAGGTAAGGAAATGGGGAAGTTGAGAAAAACTGAGTGCCTCAGTCACATAACTAGGAAGAGATTTGGGACTTGCATCTCCACCATTTGACTCTAGGGCCCGAGATCTCTCCCTTGCATTTTGGATGTGAAGTCACACAACAAAGGTGGGGATAACACCCAGGATTTCTGAGCCATTGTTAGGTCATCGGCACTGGCAAAGCCATTCCCACATCTCATCTCACCGACTCCTTACAACTCCATGGCAGTTACCACCGCCCCCACTTTACTGATGAGGGAGAATGTGCTCTGGGGGTTAACTCACTGACTCAAGCTAGTGTGTGGTGAGGCTGGGACTTGACAAGGCCCTCCAACGCCTGAGTGACTCTCTTAACCGGTAGCCTGCCTATGCTATCCTGTGAGGAAAGAGCACAGTGCATGTTATAACATTATTAGGTAACAGCAATGTTAGTCTTATGGCTTTACTAAGTTGTTCTCTTTTCCACTTTTAGACAAAGGCTACCATAGAGAGCTTTCCCAAACATTTTTTTTTTACAAAATAAGACGAATTTGTAAGAAATCAGCAACTGCCACTTAGAAGAAAATGAAACTAATGGTCTTAAATAGTATAAAGAAACTAATGATCTTAAATAGTATTTTTTGGCCACAGCATTATTGGAATGAGGTGTTTCTGATCTGCGGAACTGATGTGGCATGCGGCAGAGTCAGCGGAAGATTGTATGGGTTGTTCTACTAACTGATTATTAACATGAGTATTTCACTCTTTACATTTGAATCCATGTAGGTTTTCTTTGTATTCATTTCTTGGTTTTCCTTTTACTCCATTTGTGCTTAGGTCTGTGGTCTCTGGCGGGAGATGCATAACAGATACCATGAAACTTAAGGGGTGAATGGTGCTGTGCTGATTGGTGTTGCTATATCTTCCAGTTTAAAAAAATATGGCCCGAACATGCTTTTATCCTAGGTGACTGCTGCATTGAGAAACTTGGTCGATTCGCCACTGGCAAGAAGTAAGTTGCTGAGTGTTGGTGCCCTTACCCAGCTCTGCACAGTGATGGAACAGTACATGAGTGACAAGGACGTCTGCACCAATATTGCCAGAATATTCAGGTAGGTAGACTAAGAAAACAAATTACCTTACCAAAAATGCCAATGCTTAGACTTCAGGCCCTCTTTAATATTTGTGTGTGTGACAGGCAAGGAATCCTATTTTCTTCTTACTTTACCTAGCAACAAAGGTAAATCTAACAACCCACGTTTAAAATGAGTGATTTAAACTAATGACTCCATTTCCTATGTATTTCTAATGTGATTTTAAAGTCATCAATTATAAGTTGCTTTAGTTCTTTGGTGAGTTGTGAGTTATCCTAGTGTTCTTACAAAACAAACAAAAACGAATTCTGTGGTTTCTTGGAGATGAAGAACTCTATCACAAAACATGGCAAACTTTCGGATACACTTAAAAACAGTACTTAAGGGTTTTAACTAAAAAAGGGGACTATTGCTTAGAAAGTCTGATCTGACCATTTGTAAGAGAAGTTTATTTTATTTCAGTTGTTTGGGTGAGCTTCGGTTCATTCATTAACTAGTTGTGTTTACCCTTACTTGACTGCAGAAATAATGATCACCTGAAGCCAGGTTGCCTCAAAGCAAAATGCCAAATTTAACAACTGTCTTTAAATTATGCCTCTACATTTCCTTCTTCATGCTCTTTGCCAGTGTTTTTCTGTAATGATCCTTCTCAAGAGACCTGGCCCTTGCTTGAACTATATACTACTGTGGTTGTTTAAAGAAATGGAGAATTTCCTGAAGACTGAATTGGTGATTGACCCCAGTTTGAGAACGCACTTTACTGAGCTTTGTGCTGAGTACTTAATAACTCCCATTTTGAAGCACTGTAAATTACAAAGTCTATTTTTGAGTATGGTGGCATGTAGGGATCCAATTTGGTATTTTCCCACATGGATGGTCCATTGTCCCAGGACCTTCTACTGACCACACCACCCTTTGTTCACTGCTGTGAAATGCCTCGTCAATCAAACACAAAGTTCCGTACACTTGTAGGTCTGTTTCTGGGCATTCATTTGGTCCATTCTCAGACCAGCACCGTGCTATTTTACTATTACAGATTTACTTCGTCTTGCTAGAAGATGAATCCATCACTTCTTTTCTCCTTTAAAATCCAAATTCTTCTTTTCTCTTCCTTCTGAATTGGAGAATCAGCTAAGGTCCATGACTTAAGGTCCAAAAACTCTGGGGTTTTTCATGGACTTGCACTGAGTATGTAGAGTAACTGGTGTGGAAGTGGGGAGATTGACATCTCTATGATACTGAATCCTTCATCCACAGACATTTATGATGTCTTCTTTTAAATCTTTCAATAACACTTCACAATTTTCTCCAAAAGTATTTTGCACATCTTTTCCGAGATTTGTTTCTTCATAGCTTTTGCTGTGATTATTAATATAATCTTTAAAAATTGTTTTCTAATAGGTTGCTCCTGGTATTATGAATAATACTGATGTTTGCTTATTAAGTATCCAGGCATCTTGATGCATACAGTGTCTGGCAGAAGTAATGCCATTGAGTGTGGTTGGTAGGGTCTCACATGAGATGGACAGCAATTTGAACATTTCACCTAAAATGTCATATGGTGTGTTTGAGTGTGATATTGTTATGTTGCAGAATTACATATTTATGATTCTGTAATAAAATATTTGGTATAGATTACCACTCATAAAAAGGGGGTGTTAATTTGTGTTGGACCCCATATTCGGTCTAAGAGCTTACTGATAGATTCTCTTGGAGAATAATTTTTTCCCAGTTATTATAACTCTTCTACCATGTCCCTACCTCTTCTCACGTTGCTTAGGGTATCCAACTAGTCCAACAAAAAGCTGAGAGAGTGTTTGCCTGCTGCCTCTAACCTGACTTTAAAGGAAGTACTTCTCTGGCTTTACCAGTTGAAAATAATATTTGTTGTAGGTTTTTATAGATTCCTTTTAGAAGGTTAAGGAAAAATTTTCCCCACTAATGGCTGTTAGATTTTCTTAAATGATTGTCCTGAACCTATTTATATTATGTGTTTTTTTCTTTTTTTTTAAGTCTTTAATGTAGTAGATTACATGTAACAGATGTTCTCGTGTCGAACCATTACGTCTTGCTAGGCTTGGTTCACAGACATTCAGTTTAGGATATTTCACCCCAGTAATGAGTTAGACCTTTGTCTGTCCTGTGTCACACCAGCCTTGTCTGGTTTTCCCGTCAGGTGTGCATAAGCCTCATAAAATGTGTTGGAAAGTATTCGGACTTCTCTTTTCTAGAAGAATTTGTGAAAATTAAACATTTTTTTCTTGAAAAGCTTATAGAACTTGCTTGAAAAGCTATTTTTATCCTGGTGCATGTAGGAGTGAATACTGTTGACTACTGAGTACTTTCTCTAATGTTTGAATATGTAACCACATTTCCTAATTGCATTGGTGTTAGTTTCAAAAACTTATATTTTTATATGAATCTATCTACTTTATCTAAATTTTCAAACAATATAAAGTTGTCTCAAATATTCTTTTATTATCCTTTTAATCTCTGTTACATCTCTAATTATGTCCCCTTTTACTTATTTTACTCATCTAATAAATGCTTCCTGGTGCCCACTACATGCCAGGCAGTAGACTAAGCGCTTGCCAAATACTAACTCATTTACTCCATATAACGGATTTAAAATATAGGTTCTACTGTTATTATCTCCATTTTACATATGAGGAAACTGAGGCACAAAGAGGTTCGGTAGTTCTTCCACGGTCACATAGATAGCAAATCACAGAGCTGCAATTCACACCAGCTAGTCCGGCTCTAGAATTCATACATTTAATCATGATTTACTTCCTCTACTTCCTTTACTTTACCACCTCTTCACTGTTGATATCAATTCCTAATTTTTATTATTTATGATGTTTTTTTATCAGTCTTGCCAATATTTTTTACCGATTTTTGCAGAACCAATATATTTATTGATCCACCCTATTTTATGTTGTTTTCTATTTTATTCCTTCTATTCTTATCCTTACTAATCCCTTTCATCTACTGTCCTTGATATATTTTCTTCTGTTTTAGTTAGAAACTTAATTCCTGTCTTTTCAACATTCTTAAGGCTATAATTTTTCTGTAAAGACTGCTTTAGCTACATCCTCCAACTTTTGATTGGTAGCATTTTGTAGTTTTTGTAGTAGTATATCTAAGTGCTTTTTTATTTTCATGATTATTTGACCCACAAATTATGTGTTTTTAAATTTCTAAAAGTATATTTTTAAGGTATTTTTAAAAATTGATTTCTAATTTAATTTCATTGACCAGAGAATGTGATCTACGAGATACCAGTTCTCTGAACATTTACTGAGACTTAGTAGCCTGGTACTTGGTCACATCTTTCAAATATTAATATTTTACCTACTGATTTATCAGTTAATGAGAAATCTATAAATATCTTCTAATTTGGTGTGAGTTCACTGTATTAGTTTTGTCTGTTTTCCTGCTTGCTGTCTTGCTTTAGAAGTTTGGAAGCTATTTTCAAGGCTTTTTCCCTTAAGGTCTATTTTGCCAGGTATTTGTTCGCCAGACAACTGCCAGGCTGGTATATTCCTCTAGAGCCTTTGCTGCTGAGGGGGTCCCAGAACTCACTGATTGGTGTCCAACCAGATTTTGTGTAAATTTCTTGCCTTGCATGTTCTGAATCATGTGGGTTTTGTAGATTGCATATATTCATACCATATACATGTGTTACAGGCTTCAGGTTTCTGTTTTTCAAAGACCTTTTTTCATTCCCTCACTCCATGCCCCGAGAATCTGCAGCAGACAGCAAACCTGCCTGAGGCTTCTCTGCTCTGGAATGTGGAGTATTTCTAGACTCCTTTTCATGCACTGGGCAATGCTTTGAAGGTCCTCATTTAAAGTAAAACAATGTGTACTTGAATTTTATAGAAGAACAAAGTTTATTTTTATTTTCCCTTTTGGCATTTCTGCAGCAAACTCACTACTTACCACGACTGCTGTGTTGCTTTGGCCAGCTGCTCCAGATGTTATGCCTTGTTTTTGAATCTGATAAACAAATACCAGAAGAAACAGGTTGGTTCTTCATGCATTTGATTTTTCAGTGTGTTTTCTAATTGGTGTGTTCATGCAAGCCCATGTTGAATGACTTTGTTTTAAATGTAAAGGTTTCCATTAGAAGCTTCCATTAGATATGTAATGGGCTGCCCCAGAAGGCAGTTACCTGCAGGAGTTCGGGAAGGGGTTGTTTGAGGCCGCAAAGGCCTCAATAAAATGTCTATGTGGTAGGGGGATTCCTGATTTAGGGAGGCAGTGAGTGGACCACCATAGTGTTGTTCTTCTCAGTGATCTGTAGACCTCTTCGTGAGAACCACTTTGGGGTGAGGTGGGGGTACCCTGGTTATTTCCAGAACACACCCCAAGCCTTCTCAGTCAGATGGGCAGGGCAGGGCCTGGCCACCTGCACTTAAAAAAACAAAGACTGTAGGGACTTCTGATGCAGATTGGTTTGGGACACCTATACACTTGATATGCCCTAGAAGTTCTTCTAGCACTGATATTCTTGGGTTCTTTGACCTTTTATTTAGAAAATTTAGATAAAATTTCTAGGTAAGTATTTAAAGGAAACAAATAGGTTATAATGGACTGGGCAAAAACCTCTGTAGTTTAAAAAACAGCAGCGGGGCAGGGGAGAACTCACAAAGACTTCCCCTTAATACAACTATAATACTTAGTACAAATATAAATTTTTATTATAAGTTTTTAAATAGTCATTAAATGAAGTCTAATTTTATTTATCTCTATAAATGATTAAAGTGACATCAACTCTTTAGAAGAGATATTTTATAGACAAAGATTATATATATACATTTCATATGTGGTAAATTTTCAAAATCACATAGTAAGTTTCATCAGTTGACAAATAAGTTATGTGCATACTAAGAATATTTGTTTGTTGTTACTACATTAACAACATCAAAGCCACCTCAAGACATAAACCCTATTTGCCACAAAGAGCATTGAGCTTATTTGTACCCAACCAAGTGCTTCTGCTGAGAATGACAAAATTCGTCAGACTTTCCATTATTAGTAGCTGGTTTTTAAAAGGTTACAGGTCTCGTTTAGGTTATATAGATGACAGGAGAAACTCTATGTTCTTATTATATCATTACTTCATTTTAAAGATAAAACCTCACTTAATGGCTTAAGTTTTGATTTAATTGTTAAATACTGATTTTTAAATATGCACTTAAGTTTCTGATATTGAGTTTTTGACTTACAAAGACTTTCCTTTATGTATTTTATATTTTCTCTAAATTACATACTTTGAAAGATTTCAAAGTGTAAGAATTTCCATGTCAAAAAATGAATTTTTTAAAACATATTTTATTGATTATGCTGTTACAGTTGTTGCATTTCCCCCTTCACTCCCCTCCACCCTGTACACCCTCTCCCACCCACATTCCCCCCTTAAGTTCATGTCCATGGGTCATACATATAAGTTCTTTAGCTTCTACATTTCCCATACTATTCTTACCCTCTCCCTATCTATTTCCAACCTACCATCTATGCTACTTATTCTCTGTACCTTTTCCCCCTCTCTCCTCCTCCCACTCCCCTGTTGATAACCCTCCATGTGATCTCCATTTCTGTGGTTCTGTTCCTGTTCTAGTTGTTTGCTTAGTTTCTTTTGGTTTTGCTTTAGGTGTGGTTGTTAATAATTGTTAGTTTGCTGTCCTTTTACTATACATGTTTTTTTAATCTTCTTTTCTTAGATAAGTCCCTTTAACATTTCATAAAATAAGGGCTTGGTGATGATGAACTCCTTGAACTTGACCTTATCTGAGAAGCACTTTATCTGTCTTTCCATTCTAAATGAAAGCTTTTGCTGGATAGAACAATCTTGAATATAGGTGCTTGCCTTTCATGACTTAGAATACTTCTTTCCAGCCCCTTCTTGCCTGCAAGGTCTCTTTTGAGAAATCAAAAGAGAAGCTGACAGTCTGATGGGAACTCCTTTGTAGGTGACTGTCCCCTTATCTCTTACTGCTTCTAGGATTCTCTCCTGCATTTTTAGCTTGGCTAATGTAATTATGATGTGCCTTGGTGTGTTTCTTCTTGAGTCCAACTTCTTTGGGACTCTCTGAGCTTCCTGGACTTCCTAGGAGTCTATTTCCTTTGTCAGAATGGGGGAATTCTCCTTCATTATTTGTTCAAATACATTTTCAATCTGTTGCTTTTCCTCTCCCCCTTCTGGTACCCCTATAATTCGGGTGTTAGAACGTTTAAAGATGTCCTGGAGGTTCCTAAGCTTCTCCTCATTTTTTTGAATTCTTATTTCTCCATTCTTTCCTGTTTGGTTGTTTCTTTCTTCCTTCTGGTCCGCTCTATTGTTTTGAGTCCCAGTTTCCTTCCCATCACTATTGGTTCCCTATGCATTTTTCTTCATATCTATTATCGTACCCTGCATTTGTTCATCTAATTTGTGACCAAAATCAATTCTGTGAGCTTCCTGATCACCATTGTTTTGAATTGTGCATCTGATAGGTTGGCTCTCTCTTGGTCACTTAAAAGGATGAGTTCTGGGGCATTGATTTGTTCTTCTGTTTGAGCCATCTTTTTTTTGGGGGGGGGGTCTGGTCGCTCCTGTTATGGTGAGGGGCGGAGCCTTAGGTGTTCACCAGGACTGGGCACCCCAGTCGCTAGATTGTGACGTTGTATGTGGGGGCGAGGTTGGGAGGGAACAATGGTGGTAGCTCCATTCTCCGTAGGATCCCAGTCCCTTTTCTGGGATCCTGGGTTCCGTGCTCTGCCCTGTTCCACAATCGTCACCTCACTGGGTCTGCCAGCTGCCACTTGCATACTCAGGGTCTACCCTCTGTGATCTTGTGCGCCCCATATGCCTTACCCCCTGGACACCTTATGTGCCCAACTCTCCCTGCTCTCCGTGCTGCGACCTGCTCCTGGCTGCTCTCCTCTGCCCCTTCTACTGGTCTGGATGAACGGGTCTATTTGAACTTCTTGGTTGTACGACTTCCATTCAGATCAATTCTCTATCAGTTCTGGGTGTTATTCTGCCTCTAAATTGTTGTTCTTCCAATCTTGGTTGTGCATGGAGGTACGGTGCATCCACCTATGCCTCCATCTTGGCTGGAAGTTCCAAAAAATGAATTTTGATTAAGCTACCTTAAAGTATTCACAGTCTGCTGTTAATGTAAGTATCTATTAAGCATTACTAATTTAGATTTTGGTGTAATATCTTGTCAGAACTGAAATCTTTGGGCAAGTGAACTGACCACATGGAAAGCTTAGGAACTCTGGCTAGTTTTCTTTTTTAAGGAAAAAATTAAAATGGTAGAAAAGATAGTTTCGTATAGCATTAAAAGAATTATTTTAGATTACATAGAAATGATTTAGTTGTGGATTTTATTTTGTAATTTTATTTTATGAGTTTACTTCATGGATTTTCATTGTAATTTTATTAGTATTATCATTCCTTTTTGCTCTGACACTTTGATCATGCATGGCTTAATGACCATAGTGGGAGAGGACCTCTTTGCTCTGCACTAGAATGTTCAAGTGTGGATGAAAGAAAACCCTTGTTTTTAACAGTTTGATTTCAAGTTGTCATAACCTATAATTTTTTAAAAAGAAGGAAAACCCATCAGCTGAGTACTGACAAGTAGCCTTATGGCATCCCTAACAGACAGTTTGTTTCTCTGATTGTTGCTCAGGTGACAGCCGTGTTTAATAAACACACACAAATTCTGGTGTCTTGCCAAGACAAGACATGTGAGATGTCGGTGTGGTGAAGGTAGGCTTTTTCTGGTTCCAGAGGCTAAATGACTTGAAATCTAATTGGCATACATTTGTATCACACTTCGCATTGAACTACTTTTCTCCTTAGTTATCTATTGCAGATAACTATTGGCCCAATAGTTATCTGGAAAGCAAAATTGGTGTGTAAGAGACGTATTTCCTCTATCGAGTCACATTACAATTTTGTGTTTCTATTGAAATTATTTTGGTCCAAAGAATAAAGTTCACCTCACAAACTATATAGTGATATGCTGTTTATTCAGAACCATCAAGAAAATCCATAATGTACCCCCTTAGTCACCAAACTTATTTCAATCATTGTGGTGAAAATCATATTCAACCATATTATAAATATATCACAAAAGTTATTAAAAATGATTTAGCCTCATCTTGACGCTCTAGAGGCTCGTCGTCTACCTTGGGAGCATGGGCCTACTGATGAGGTTCTTTCAATGTGTTTGTCTCCTTTTTGTACACTTCTCTCTTCCCCTTCTAATGGTTGTTACCTCTGCCTTTGGTAATGGTTACCTGCCTTTGGCAATTATGTCTTTGCTTGCAATTAGTAGGGAAACATCATAGCCAAACTTGTTAAAAGTAGCACCTAATAAGTCTAAAATAAAATTGACTATGAATAGGCCCCTAGTGAGAAGGGCCTAGGGGACTCAGATGAAATTCCTCTTGTCACTTCTCATCCTCAAAAGCCAGGTTATATTTCAGAGATGTACCTCTCATGTCACTTCTCTGTGAAACCTTTCAGGACCAGTCAATCCCTCCCTCATCAGTACATGATTTTAAAGACTTTAATGTAGCTAGTTCACCTAGCTAGTATACGCAGCGTGAGGGATCCAAGCAGTATGTCTGCGATCTCCAGCCCTGGCCAGTCTGTTGGAGCGTCGTCCTGTGCACCAGAAGGCTGCGGGTTCCGTCCCTGGGCAGGCTGCGGACCTGGGAGGCAACTGATCGTGCTTCCCTCTCACATCAATGTCTCTCTCTCCCTTTCTCTCTCTCTCTCTCTCTCTCTTAAAAAAATCAATAAATATATCCTCAGGTGAGGATTAAAAGAAGAAGAAAACAAATATTATCCAAAACTTAGAAATGAGGTGTGGTGTGGGAGGCTGCACGTCCTGACAAAGTCAAGCTGGGGCACTGTTTGAAGGGCAGGGCTTAATTCTCTAGGAGAATGCATCTGTGTTTAAACTTGCTATTTACTGCTCGACTGGAACCCAGACTCTGTGAGTTACACATTAGCTTGTAGA